GTCATTTTGTCCGACTTGCTCTGGAGGCTCGCTCACATGAGACGTTGAAATGCACCTTAAAGTTGAAGAAGAAGCCGACTCCAAGCTGTCCGACTTCACGCGAGCTTTTTGAGACCTCCCCCGGCTGCGATCGGCTATTCTCGTCTACTTTCGAGGCGAACCGCAGCTCGTCTCAAACAAGCCTAATGACTAACCATCATGCAACGTAGCCTACTTGCAAGACGGCGATCGCATTTGCGCAGGTCTGAGTCGGTCTCGCTTGTCTCAAACAAGCCTCATATGTTCGGCTGGCAGAGGGTGTGGCCATAGCTCTGGGCGTGGCTACTGGGTATCCATAGTCACGATACCCAGGAAGAAAACATAGGAAAATGAGAAATCTCCAACGAGGCGTTTTCATGGATGTATAATAAGAACTGGATACAGCGTGGGAGGCGGGGCCTCATTCATTCCTATGAGAGTTGCTTATTAGCGCATGATGATAAAATGGCCCAACTTTCGAGAGAGCGAAACGTCACAGATTACCCGGCATGCCTGAGAACTACCCGTATGTGCGCTCATAGCGCATGCGCAACTTTAACCATGCCCCCAAAATGCTCGTTCACATCAAGCACGTCAATTTGCGTACACGTAACAGCACCGCGCGTTCATGACAGCATGGCACTGGATTGTTATATGATGGAGTTTGATATTAACGAGGCGGCAGTTAGCAGCTAGCGGCTAGCTAGTAATTAGGTCTTAGTAGCTCTGTACGTGTTTTCTTTTCCTTATGACTGTTGAAAGTAAACATATTTATTCTATATTTCCTTCTATATGTGGATTTGAATGTATGTCACAGTCCTCTGTTTATTTATTGTTAAGAAACGCAACACATGGTTTTCAACAGTGGAACGATTTATGTGAATGTCAACAGCAACATCCCAAGCTTCTTTCTAGCCAATATTCATTATGTTGTATCTGTACCTTCAACTGCAACTGACCAATTTGGTGTATTTTGTTCGCAAATCTGTGTTCAACATACTACTTGGAGTACGCTTAACAAGTCTGTACTGAACATGGACACGCAAAACTCTCAACAGGTCAGTTTTTTTTTCATATCTGATACCAAATGTTGCTGAAATATTGCCACACTGGAGATGTATAGTGTATGTAGTTAAGGGTTTAGTTATTGTACATTTCAATTGTGTTATTTATGTTAAATGTATGATGTATTCAAAGTGTTCAATGTGTTAAATGTATTCAATGTATTCAATATATTAAAATAACTACCCAAACATTATATTTGTTAAATGTTCATTGTTCATTGTACAGTATATGTAAGTTATTTATATGTATGTAAGTGTTGTCTCGTGTGTATGTATTGTTTGTGATCGTTGTTGTGCCCTCACTCGTGGCCTGCACCTTGACGTGGTGAGTGGGCTTTAAATTAAGACAGGCCATTTTTGTTTGAAATATCATGCTAACAAACCTGCAATTACGGAATTGAATGATAGTGGTTAAATATGTTCATGTCTTGCTGACATTATTTGTTATCCTTTTCCAGATAGCCTCTCAGATAGATTCCTGTTTCATCTGTTGGTTTGCCACTGTCCAGTGTCTGCCAGCTTGCTCCCTCTCAGAAAAGTGCCATCTTCTGTCAACAGGAAGAACTGTTGAACACTTGTCACTATATGAAGCTCAGCGCAAGTTCTTTCAGGAAGACTGGGTATGTATACATTCACTCCGCAGCTGCTTATAATCAGCTCATCACGGGCGCTGTCTTTAACCTATTACATTCACCTCATTCTCCAGCAGCCAATCACCGTGCTGCAGCCAAACTTTAAAATGGTTCTCCTCTCTCCTGCAGTCAGCTGTGATTGCAGGTGTTCATGCTGCCGCCCGCCTCCTCTCCACCCACCTCCGTTCATCATATCCAGAGCCAGGAGAGTTAATCCAAAGACCTCATTACACCTCCTCTTCATCCCATCTCCTCATGAAATCCAGATCTTCAGCATCATCATCACCAGTGTCTAGACCCCGGGGGGTTCCCTATATGCTCACGGCTTTTCCCCCTTTAGATATAAGATTTCAGGATCAGGGTCTAATCGCCAAAGACTTAACATTTATCATATGACATGTGTCAATAAATGTTCCTTAAACAAAATGAAGTCTCTCCTGATTGAACTGTCTGGACCCCATACTCAAAAAAAATTCAAACCATGAAATGCCTTCAGAGGGCTTTCCTGTTGATCATGTTTGGTGGATTTTTTAATATAATAATTGCAATCAATATTATATATATTACCTTCTTAATCTATATAAATTGTTTTATTTACATTTGTTGTCACTATTTGTTCCACCTATGCCAGCATCAGAGGTATACATGTGGTAACTGTGTTAATCTCTTTTAGGTTTCATTTCTTATTTTTGTGAATTTTCCTATATAAAATGCTGATTTCTACCTGAAATGCCTTATGTATTTTTAATTACATTTTCGTAGAGCTTTGACTTTTTCAGCTGGAATAAATATTATAACTCTACATGGTTTTGTTCAGCATTGCCAGCTTCACTGTTGAGCTTTATGTTGTGCCCAGCATCTCCTGTGCTCTGAAATCAAAATTGGTATAAGCATAAAACAACACTAAAATATAACACTACACGACATACTTGTAATTAATTGACACACAGTTTGTACACAAAGGGTGTAACTCTGATTTAATGGTGTTTATAGCAATACAACACAAGCTATAAATAGTATATATATATATATACAAGGCAATAAGATTAATACAAACTGTTAATTTGATCAATATTGACACATATTAATAGATTTGATATATAGATGACGACTTCACTCGGACATATCATATGGATAGTACTATTTAATCTGGTCAAATCGTGTTGTGACCCACATAGGCTTCACTTCATATTCCAAGGGACGAAACTACTTTATACTGATCGCTAATCTACATCTGCACGATCAACGTGAACCGCTGTGTCGGTCCCGTGGGTTAGATGGCGTCACAATGCAGAGGGAAACTCTGACTCTATCCCAGCATAACGTTATTATAGCACATTTTTACAACTTGAGGAATGCAACTTTTTAATAAGGGCTATACAAGTGGTTCATACTGGGTAGTTTATTTAGTTTAAAAAAAATTATCCAACGATTTACCAGACCATTCTTTCTCTTCTTGGCCAGGCACCAAACGGAAGTGTTAGGTACCGCCGTTTGGGCCCAGCACGAATATTTTCATATGAGTCCGGCGCACTTCCTGGGGCTTGATGGTCACCCCGAACACGACATACCGACTACCCCGACTCCACGAGGTCAAGATTGCCCCTCCAGTTGCAGATACTTGACCGGCCAATCGATCAATACAACGAGCCCTCACTCACTAACCATGCAAAAAGATGCGATAAATGCACATATTAAATACCTTAAAATATGCATACACGAGGATGTCGGATCCAGATATGCGGGCAGGCCGCGTGGACACAGCAACCAGTGCGAAAGCCATAGGAAACGACCAAGGTGAACTTGATAAGTCATCAAGTCACATAGTTAACGTGCGTGACTCAGCTGTAAACACAGTTCAATCCCACAGACCAAACGCCACGTTTTCCGGGTAAAGTCCTACACGTTTTCCGTTGGCCGGTTGCCGGTTGAAACTACCGGAAAATGCTCACGTTTTTGAATGTGGATTTAAAAACATGAGGAAGAGTGATATGAAAATCGTTAGATGTCAGTAACAGATCTATGGTAAAACAGAGTAAACGAGTTGACCCTGTATGAACAGCTTGCGTATAGCTTCTCTATATTATACTCAACATTCGTTCTTCAAGTTGTAATTCAGTAGGAATGTGCGGTCGCAAACGTTAGCTGCGAGTTATTTCCCTCTCCATGGTACGAACGCGCATCCGACCCACGGGACCGCGCCGCTGTCCATGCATTCATCGTTACGTGTCCGACCAATCATAGAACACACTGTGCTCACAGGAGGAACTTGCCTTCTTAGAAAGCATTGGATTACAACGAGCCCCGATAACGTATAGAAGTGAACTATTCTGAGGATTACACGTAGGGTTTACAGTTACATCTGTCTGGACGACAACCAATGTGAGTTGCGTTGATCTTTAAGCAGTGGATGACAATAAGAAGCGGACCTATCGTCTGACTGTCAGCGCAACTACAGGATGCCGTGTTAGAATCAATGATATATTACAGCACGGTGTCGGCTGCAGCGAACCAATCCAGACTTCCTGCGCGACTATGCATTCAATCGGGACACAGTTAAATGTTGGACGCGGACAAAATAAATGCTGTGTGTTCAGTCCGCAACTGTGCGGACACCGTCAGCTACTACACACAACACAAGGTCGCTGTAGCTATCTCACACAAACACACGCTTCAATCAAGTTGCATAATGCGTATTGAGCTACGTTTATGTATCAACTCTGTGAATCTGCCTAATTATGGTTAATTCGTTCAATGACCACATAACACAACACTGCATACTGACAAACTGACATGGATGTTAGATTTATTAACATATTTATCAAAAATAAATTCAACCTTACATAAGTGGTGGAACGCGTACCGCGTCTCAACCACTAAACCAGTGGATTTAACTCATATCCGCGAGAGAGAAAGTCATACATGGGTACACGACACGTAAGACACGGTTTCTGATGGAAAAGTGCCAACGTAAGCAGTACGTGGATGTCACTTTCTACCATATCCTCAGCCGAGATAAAGTCGGCACCATTTGTAAAGCAAAATACTTGATAGCATGGTAAATCATTCCACACCAACTTAAAACAGTATCAATTTAAGAGCTGCATTGAAAATCTCAGTCAGGCAGGCTACTATTCTCGCCCCAACTCTTACTCATTCAGAAAATAGAACGACCATTAAGAGAATAATGAGTCATTTTACTTTTATGCCAGAAGCTGCTAGTGTCGATTAGTATTAAGCACCTCAATCTGTATAGGAAGATATTAAGGGGGGACAAAATACACGAGAAAGGTTACGTGGTCATAATTACAGAGCCCTTTCCATCTAAGAAATTGAGGAAGTAACAGTAAGTCCTTTGACGCCAGAAGTGGAATGCTCTAATATGCGACTATCTGTTATATCAGAGAAACAGAACAGTATGAAGGGGAATTGCCGAAAGAAGCAAAGGATCTAGAGCAGTACCCAGTAGAAGACCAAGCACGTTTGAGGTACAGGATGACATACCCGAAAGTGGTTGCAATCTACAAGCGGAGTCTGGCACAGCAAAGATATTGTGGAGTGCCGAGCTTCCACAGAGGGATTTCAATATCAGAAGCGACTAACGTCACCAGCAGAGAAGATGCCGACCGAGACCGGCAAGCATCTTGTTCACAATACACTAGAAACTCGAACAGCCCCTCCAGCTCACCTTCCTAAATGCCACTGCGCTGTTGATCTTTCGCAGAGGGGCCACTCCATGGCATCCTGCAGTCCACTGTCCGACATATTATGTCAAAACGCACCTTTACCAGATTGTTTCCAATGGAAGAAAGTGGCTGAACACGTTATGCTGATACTGCATTTTGCACTATTCCATGTAGAAAGTTTAACATAGGGTGGTGTTAGTGCACATGCGATAAGAAGCACTAAAATCACACAAATGCAGCTGTACAAATTGAAAAGTGAGTGAGACATTGAAATAATAAGCACCACAATATTCTTCAAATCGACATTGCATCCCACAGCATAGGACATCATGAATATGATACGCACATACATGCTCATCGAGTTATTGCGCCGTTAGTAGCGACAGGATATCTGAGTCTCCACGATTGCTAATGAGAGGCAACTGGCAAGCTATTGCCAATATACTAATAACATTTGGACATCATGAGTTACTTGTGTCAGATCCAGATTCCAACCGCTCAGTGTGCGTTGGGACCTGTGGAGTCAAGATAGACCGTGGAAAGCTGGCCTATGAATGAGGAATTCAGACACTGTAAAGAAAGACCTGGCCTATACACTCTACTCTAACGTTAAACAACTCAACGCAAAGAATATACGGTGAATTCGAGAGACACAGAGTGAGATAACAGAACCCACCATCAGGATAGGCCGAATAATGTAACTTTGTTATCAATAGTTAGTTAGTGCTTTAGAAGCAGCTTATATTGATCTTGCAACTCCTATAAGTATATTACACTACTCGTTAGTTCTGTACTCACAGTTAACTTAAACAACGTTAGTAATTGCTGATCTTTGCACATCCCTTTCAAGATTTCAACGAGTTTTCTGAAGTGTCAGTTGACATATCATATACTAAAACTACGGTTGCAGTTATGCAATGAATGAAAACATTGGGTCACAGGTTCCTCAACAGTGCGCCCATTACAATGACATCTATCAAGTATGTGTGTCACCGCAGTCACGCCTGTTTAAATCTGTCCAATTCTGCCATAGTTTCTTCGATACATATCTACCAGAGGTCGGGACCAAGTCACTTGTTTGCAAGTCACAACGTTCAGTCTCAAGTTCGTTGCCTTCACAGTCCCGAGTCACAGCCCGGAGTCAGAGGACAGGCAAAGTCCGGCGGTCAAGTCCCAAGTCAAGACCCGACAAGTCTGCAAGTCGAGTCCCGGAAGTCCGCTTACCGTTTGAGTTTTCGCAGGTCCTGTTGTGTATGATACAGTGTCTTTATAATACACACACCTATTGCATGCAAAATCCACTTTACTTCTACGTCTCTTCTACGCTAACTCTACATCCATGACATGTGTCCCCCTTCTCATTGTGCATCTGCGTCTAAATCGACATCGTGGCTCCCCTCTTTCATCACATGTCTCCTTCTTCTTAGAACCTATCTAATATTGTGTTGCCCTCTATACATCAAGGATCTCCATCTATCAACATGTGTCCCCTCTTCTTCAAGTCTTCTTCTACATTGCGACATGTGGTCCCCTTTCAACTCCATCATCTTGTTCTATCATACTCTCATACATTACAAAAAGTTCCCTCTCTATCTACCGATAATGCGTCTCTTTCTTACAATCACACTTATTGCGTAGTCACCCTCTCTTCCATGTCTCTTCTACATCAACATGGTCCCTCTTCTTCCATGTCTCTTCTACATCAACATTGTGTCCCCTCTTCTTCATGTCTCCTTCTATGTACATCAACTCTGTGACCCCTTCTCTTTCTTAATATATGCTCATCATAAAATCAACAGTGTTACTCCCCGTCTCTCCATGTGTCTCCCATATACAATCAACAGTGTCCCCTCTGCTTTCATATACTTCTTCTCATACATCAACAATGTGTCTCACCCTCTTCGTTCATTGTCTCTTCTACTCAACATGGGTTTGTCCCCTTATTCCTACTAGTGTCTCTTCTACACTTCAACATGTGCATCCCCATCGTGTGGACACGAGACTCCTGATAATAGCTTCAGAGTTATCAACCATGGATTTTGCTCTCTTTTTTGCACTCCCATTTCTATAAAAACCGTCTGAAAATGAGCTGATTGCATAAAGAATTCTGAGATTCACGTCTGATGATGTCTATGACCGATGTGTTGTCTTGTGCTAACTCATTAGCAATCACCATACACACCAAGGTAACCCCCCCCCCCTTATCACTGAATCTCCTCCGTAGAGCACCTTGAGTTCTTTGTAACCAAATCTGCTTCTCAGAGGGTCTTGATGGGGAGGGGGTCCTTACTTTGTTTGCGATCTAAAGTACATAGACATGAGAATACAGCACCGTTTGGTAGCTCTCCGATAGGGGCTGAATAGCATGTGGGGTAGTGTTGATGATGTAATTGCTGCAGGATGAACTGGTTTGGTGTTTGGACTGCCAAAGACACTTCAAGCATTTCTGTATTATCTGGACCTGTGATATGTTGCATGATAAACTGATGCATTAAGTAGGTATATCTTTAAAGTTCATGTCCATCAAGTACTAAAACAGATTTAATCTAACTCCTCTATATGAAAGACCCTGGCTCGTCGTTGTGAATAGATAGACTCCTCATCTGCAGAAGTCTGCAATTTCAATTTTGACTTTCATATTCATGATTACAATAAATCTACTGCCTGCAAACAAATGTGCAATGAATAGGAATTGTCAAGATCTAGACAAAACACTGTGTGAGATATATTTCAGTTCTGTGATGCATGCTGTGTGTCGAAATGTCAAGAAGTGTCAGCATAACTTTGTTGTTTTTCAGCTTTTCTCTCGTAGTCCAGGATATGTGATTATATTCAAATGAAAAGATAATACTCAGTATGTGAAGAGAGATGCACGTCTACGTGTAGGTGTGACATGGAGAACTAGGTTATTAGAAGAGTACGTAGCACCAGTCATATGTGAGCCTCGGACCAACGAGAGATCATGGAGAAATATGAAGAGCTGCGTATTAGTGATCGCATGGGATGAATCTTATATGCGTCGCGAAAACAACAATGCGTTGGGCGCCTCGATGGCTATTCGAATCAGCACGCTGCAGTTTATTAAGCATGTCTCTGAGGAGGTGACGCGCGTTCACTGCGTGTGATGCGAGATTAACTTAGACGTGAGCCTACTGCGCGCTCTTGAGTATTGCCTGAGATCGGCTGGAGACGCGCAGAGAGGTGAGAGTGTGAAGGTTGTGATCTGTGTGTGGATGAGTTCTGAGATGAGCATGACCAATGAACAGAGTTGTTGCTTTTCTATTCAGGGCCCTCTATGCTGCGATTGTGTGTGTGTGATTACAAAGATCAAATTGCCAAAAGTCTCGTCAGTCATTTGTGCTGACGTAGTGG